CTCTTAAGAGAATAGATACAAATCTGTGAAAGAAGAAGTTTCATTCAATTATCTGAAATACTGTGTATGAAGAGACTTTTCTCACACTGAGAGAATATATAATAATATTCTCAGTACTTATTTAATCAGATTATGATAAATCTTTCTACATTGAGATAGATGCATTTAAATAAGCTATCAGAGACACTCTTCTACAGATAAGTAAGAATAACAAGCTGCACTCAGTGATGTATAATAATAGAAAACTATCAGACACTGAGCTCAATTATTCAGTGTATAAAAAGAAATTGCTAGTGATTAAGTATACACTGATATTATAAGATAGATATATTGACAACAGATATATAATAATAATGATCACAGATTATGAAAGCCTTATCTATCTATAATTAATAATAAAATCTTTCAAATACTTAGTATATTGAATCTCAGAGTTCTAAGTATACAATCTTCATATTAAATACTGAAAGAGATTGAACACTGTGATGTCTGATGTAATTGATTACAGACTCAATTTCATGAGTGAGAATTCTGTGAATCAGATATAAGAGAAGTTCATGTTAAATATGCTGAGAAGATATAAGGAATTAAAATGAGTAAACACAATGATCTCTTACTTGAAGAATGATAAGATGTCAGATAATAAGCATCTTACAAAAGTAGTAAAAGAGATGCTTTCAAACTTCAAGCTGAGAAAATTGAAAAATGATATTATACTTTACTGTGATCTAGAATATGCAGAAGCTCTCTATCTAGAATATTTATTTAGATACAATTTAATGACTTACATGCACAAGGAATTCAGTTACTTAGAAAGCTCTGAACTCATAAATATACTTGAATCAAGAGTATACTAGTCAAGCATGACTGAGGATATTCAGATGTACATCTATGAGTGTCTGAATTATCAGATTACAAAACAATCTAAGAAAGGATTAGAATATAAGAAAGTATAATATCAGATGAGGTGTATAATACAACTGTTTAAATAATGAGAGATGAATCTCATAGACATATTACTCTGAATATTAAATGAAAATCAATGAATAATCACTGCTATTGATTACACTACTAACTGACCAGTTGTGAAAGCAGTTTCAGAGATGATAGAGAAGATGATGATGAAGTTTCTATATAATAAGATCTATGTTAACTATAAAATGCTGTGTGAGATTCTAACTAATAACAGTGTAAATCTTGTAAGAGAAGTAGTGAGACATTTCATGAGTTAGTTACAGACAAGACATCATAGAACAATGTCATATCATTCACAGATAAACAGAAAGATGAAACACTTGAATAGAATCTTGAGCAACATGCTGATGAAATATCTAGTGAGCAAGCCTATAAGACTATGAGATGAATATCTCAGACAGGCACTATTAGTCACACAGATTCAACAGTATGCAGTCTTCAAGCATTCACCATTCTATCTGTTGTATGGATTGCATCCGCGCATGCCGGAGAATGCTTTGAAAAAGGTGGAAAAGGAAACAGCAGTTGCAGATGCAACAGTCGCGGACGCAACAGTCATGAATGCAACAGTTGCAGACACAGCAGGAACAGCAGTTACAGATGCAGCAGTAGCAGTTGCAGATGCAACAGTTGTGAACACAGAACCAAGATTGAAAGAGATCAGCCACACACGCACAAAAGCTAATGAGTTACTCCTGAACTGAGCAATTCAATCAAAAAGAATATGAGACTCACTAGTTAAGAAATTGAGTCTTAAGATGAGAATATGAGTTCTCATATACAATGAGAGTTCTGAGAAGTTTCAATCTAGATAATTTGAGTCATATAAAATACTCAAATCACATTCTCTGAGAACATACACATTGAAAAAACCAGAGAGACAGATCTTATATAACTTAATAAATGATTTATATCTTATAAAAGTAAAGATGCAAGATCTGAGCAGATTATAATTATCTACAGCACTATCATCAGTATTGAAAAAAAAGAAGCTTATAATTGAAAAGTCTTACAAAGTAAGAGAAATCATAGACACTTATGAATCAGATAATCTCACTTATTTCAATCTTTTCACAATTATAAGAAAAGAATAAGAAGAAATGAAGAAATCAGATGAATATCACACTTTAATAAGTGATAAGACTGTAGTCAGTTGTATAATAACATACTGCAGATAGCAGATACAATGCAGTAAAAAGTAGTCTCAAAGTAGAAGACTTACACATGAATCAGATTGCAGAAGAAAAAGAAATTCAGAGTTGAATTTAACTGTTTATATTAGTTCAATTGTAGAGATAACAGAGAATGAATCATCTGAAACATCTACAGATACATGAGATCAAGTCATCTTAATTTCTGAAGATACTCAGAGATCAGATGAGATTAGTTTCAATAAGCTGTTCACTATAGTAATCTAAGCAGGTGAAGAGAGATAGTATAATACACAAGACAGAATCATAAAAGATGAAAGCTGCTCAATCTAGTTACTGAATACTGTATTATATAGAGATTATATAAGAGTGATGACTAGCAGACAAAGAAAAAGTGTAAGAAAAGAAAAGAGATAATGAATTAATTATCAACTGTAAGAGTCAGCTGTAAAAGATAAATATTATCATATATATCTTATTCATTTTCATACATCATATATTTAATCTATTTCCAATGTCATATCAATTGAAAAATGTCAAAAATAAAGAAAATCTCAAAACTTGAGATCTGTAAGAGATTCAAGGGCCGCAAGCTACTCTTATAATAATATTATATATATCTTCAATTCCTCTATCACTCTGTGTACAACATTAATGTCATTTATTACAAGATTGACTGAAATGTCAATATAGAAATGCATATGTATATATGTAGAAAAATTGAAGAAGAGCACAGAACTCACAGAATCAGAAATCAAGACAGAGAAAGCAGAGATGAAAGAAATGAAAGAAGAAGAGAATACAGAATTAAATGAATAACAGCAGAAGTCACTCAGAACTGAACACTTATAATCTGATATATACATAATCATCTCTACAGAAGAGGAAGAGAAAGCAATAGAAGAAGCTTAGAAGTAGAAGAGAGTAGTCTCAGTGATGTGATCATCTTTGATTAGAACAATCTCTGATATCAGAGTAACTAAGAATCATTATTAGCATATAAAAACTGCAAAATCAGAGATGAAAACAGTTATCAAATGAACACTTACTAGTCTTAGAGTTATACATATAATTATAACACACATGAGACTCTTCAGAAAGAGAGAGAGAAACACAGAGAAATGCAGAAAGCAGAACACAGTGTGTGAATAGCTTATTCTCACAATGATATCTTAAACAAGGTGTATAAGTCTCACACTTACAGATGTAAAAGAGTATGATATCTGCATTTTCATTTCTGAAAATACAGATATCTTTTGCCTGCACTATAAAGTCAGATAACAGATGTCAGAGAATAGGCTGATACAGATCTATTATTCTGAAGAAATTCATCAGAGTAGATATCTCTGTAATATTGAACTTTACAGTTGTAAAAAGTTTCTTAATATCTGTGAACATCATGACTTTATGCATAATAAAATTCATAATGATTTCTTCTAGAAAAATCAGCATTAGAAGAGAAGAGAAAAAAGAAAAGACTTATAATCTTAACACTGTTAAAGAGAGAGATGATTCTTCAGTATAAATAAATAATTGTCTTATCATGAATATTTGAAATAAATGTAATAATCAGCATCTGCAACTGAGCTTTAAATAGTTATATTATACACAGTTTTTATATAATAGATTGTTCTAGAGATCAGCAAGAAGAGCAGAAGTGTACATACTGAGAAACATAGTTTATTAAGTCTATACAACATCTTCTTGAAATGAGAAGAGCTGATAATAAAAGCAGAGACAGTAGAAGCAGAGAGAGCAGAAGTAGCAGAAGTGAGAGTCATGAGAACAGAGATAGCAGAAGCAGGAGAACTGGAAACAGGAACAAGAATAGAAGATTGAGAAGAAGCAGCAGAGGAAGAAACAGTAGTAGAAGAGACAGAGAAAGATATGAAAGACTCAGCTATATATAATACAGACAATTTCTTCATTATCATATTCTTCAAGTTCTCAATCAATAATTTAACATTGAGTTCACTATTATCAGTAGATACTGATCTGTCAATATGTGAAGATTCTATACAAATAAAAACAAACATATCAGCATCTGCATTTATATAAAATTATGTCAGAAAAAACAATCAGAAGCTCACTGAGAAGAAAAACAGTCAAGAATATACAAGAAGATGAAGAAGATGTGTCATTCATGATAATATATTCTGATAATTGTTAGAAGATAAACAAGTTCTGATCACATTTCATAACACATTACACTTACTGCTAACAAACTGCCTGATATGAGCACTACAAGAACACTTGTTATGAGAACAGAGAGTCATTGCCAGAAATGCATACAATGTGATAGATGAACAACAGATAGAAGATGTTAAATGAGAGAAGAGACAGAAATCTTGAATGAGATAGTGACATTTGATAATGACAATAATGAAGAAGATGATTAAAGAATGAGAAAAGTTAGTGAATGAGAGATGTAATATAGTGAAAGTTTCTTTGTAAAAGTGTACACAGAACACTAGCTGAATCAGAGATAGGTCACACAATCACAAACACTAGTGACATGCTAATTCACATGAAGCTAGAGTGTACATTCTAGTCACATGAGCGTGACTGAATCTGATGAGAAAGAATGTGATTTGAAAGAATGTACAACTGCTGAATAATAATGCAGCCACTTTCAAACTTGCTTATGAATGTAAAGAGGTCATAGTGACCACCAATTAATTTAGCGTACAGTATATAAGAAGCCGGCGTACGCCTGTAATCATACACTGGCTCAAGCAACCTTTGAATCACATTTCTACAGATAATTTATCTATATATATTTACAGATTACTGTCTCTGTTACAGATCTGTTAAAGAGAAGTGTGAAAGATAGAAAAATAGAACTGTTTATTCACATTTAAGATACTATACAGATATTTGTAGAATTAAAATAAGCTTTTACAGATATTATAATACTGAATCACTTTAACTCTGACTTACTTAGTCAGTGTGAGACTAATATATCTGAGAATAAGATCTGTGAAATCTTTTCACAGTTGACATTAAAGACCTTTCAATATTGAAAGAATCAGAGAATAATACTCTCTGAGAATACAGATAATGAAATGTCTGTGAGAGAAGGCTTTTTCACAGAGTTTATAAAACACTGTGAATAAAGATCAGTGATTTTCTTCTTCAAGAAGTTATCACTCACTCAGAGAAGATATAATATTCATAATTAAGAGATATTAGTAATTATTAAATTCTTTAAAATCTGATAACATTATCTTCAGAGTAGTAAGTACTCAGTGAAAGTTCTCACTAATTATGTAAATCTATATTACTTCTTGATAATAAAGAGCTTGACAGAATATTAAGTCAGATAAGTAAAGCTGCTTTCAGAGTATAATTTCTATATCTTATACTGTTCAGATTAGCTTAACTCTGTCAATACACTGTCTAAACAGCCTGATTATAATATTATTAATAAAGAGAAGAATTCTATAAAAGAATCTCTAGTATTACTACAGAAGAAGCTGGCTGCAGAGAGTTAAAATTTTCTGAAGCTTAGAAACAGCATTAGTAAGACAGCTATACAACTCAGTATAAAAGATGAAAGAAAACTCAAATCTCTGCAGAGAACTGACACTGAAGATTATAAGCTTCTCATATTATATCTTACTATTATTAAATTAATAAAGAATGAAATAATCTACAATCTTTCAATCTGACTATTTTTGAAATTCATTAATAAGTCACAGAAGAGAGATATCTCTACTACAGCTTAAATTCAGAAAATGAAGAAAAAAGAATCTGATTTAAACTTGAAAGAGACAGGTTCTGAGTGAGATAATACTGCTAAGAAATCAAGTCACTGATAATTAGAAGAATGTAAACTTCTACTACTGAATAATTCAGTCTTCATCTCTCATAGCAGAGCAGTGTATCAGAAGTTAATAAGAATTTATCATAATAATTCTTATATAGAACACTTCAGATTAGAGAAGACTGAGAAGCTTCTAAAATATAAATATATTTAAGACAAGCTTCAGACAGATGTTAAAGAGTATATTAAGACTTATAATATCTGTTAAAGAATAAAGATTTTACAGCATAAGTAATACAGTAACTTAATATCACTGCCTGTTTTAAAGAACTTATAATAGAATCTATTAATGAATTTTATAGTTAATCTGCTGAAGTTGACAAGAGTTAAAGAATATAACTCAATTTTAAGCATTATTAACTACTTTATAAAGATAATTAAATATATTGCTATTTATAACAAGATTAAAGCCTCTGAATTAACTGATCTGTTTTTAGATATTATTATTTATAATTATAATGCTCTGAAATTATTAATAACAGATTGAGAATTTCTCTTCATCAGTAAATACTGATCAGCTTTTTACTATTATCTTATAATAAGATATCTTCTCAGTATTGCATTTTATCTGCAGACAGATAATCTGACTGAATATCAGAATCAGATATTAAAATAGCATCTTCAAGTATTTTATTTATATTATTAGAATGATAAATCTAAACTTCTTCTAATCACTGAATTCCAAGCGCTTCACTACGAACTCGCTCAATTATTCGAATAAGAACCC